GTCCCCATCTTCCACCTTCTGTTTTAACTGGTCCACGTTTAGATTGAGTGCCTGTGTGATGCAGGTCCCAGACCTGCTACTGGTAGCTGCAAGCACAGTACCAGCCCCATCAGCCAAGCCGGGCATGCACAACACATTAAAATCTTCCAGAACTTCTTACTCACCGTCTTTGGGCTTTTTAATGCAAACGATGAGAAAGATGACAAGGAAAACCACGCCACTGCAGACCACAGCAATCAGGATGACCAGGTAGAGGGAGAGGCGAGTCCTCTGGAAATCTGGAATGATACAGCAGAAGGCTTTCTCGCAGAGAAGCCCTCCTGGGTCAGAGCAGCAGCGGCAGCTACGTGATGCTGACCGCTTCCCCGAGGACGACGGCAGCCAGCCCTGGCACGGGCAATGCAGGGCTGCACTGCGTGTGCCCGTCCCTGCTCGTCCCCGTCCCACCAGCACCGTGCTCACGCGGCTCTGCGTGGGTGCCACTGCGTGAGCCAACCAGACGTACGCACACACACCTCACCCGGAGACTGCGGCCCGTCAAGACAGCCACCAGCGTCTCCCAGTGCTGAGGCTGACCGAGGCTGCGGGCTGAGCAGAATAGTTGCACTACACGTCATGAAATAAAGGGTCTCAGCTTTTCATTCAAGGATACTGTTCAGTTGTATTTGGGACGTATTTAAACCTACCACAGCCCTGCAAAGCTGGGGGAGGTACAGAAGATCTGCTTGAGTTGCACACTGAGGCTTTCCTGCTCTACCAGCTTTGATGCTCAAAAAGATCAAAATGGACTACTGTCCAGGTACACAGCAACAACTATGTATGCTCCAGCTATGAAAGTATCTTTTTTCCTCCCACAAAATCATCCAGAGTCTTTTAAAGAGTCACCGTGAATCACCCAGGTCCCTTGAGAGCAGTCATTACTACAAGTTGCAGCCAAAAGGCACAACACAAATTTTGAGGCTGAAAGTCCTGACTATTGAGCAGCCAGTTTGGGTTGCTAATCTCATCCTTAGCTTTGTTTTGCTCTCCGCTTACTCTGAGTTGTGGAATTCTTTTCTGCATGTCCGACACCATCCTCAGAAGTCACTGCTGTTATGGGCAGATCTGCAAAACAGACAGGAGTAAAAGGCTCACAGTGCATTTCCAATCCTCATTTTAGCAGCAGGTGATCCAGAATTATAGCTGTAGGATCAAACAGGATGTCTCGGTCATCTTTAGCAGGCAGTGAAAACAGGCAAACTCTAGAAATGAGTACTATGTCTACACTATAATAGATAGAGAGTATATATATAGCACTATATATACACACACTAGATAGATACTACATAAATAGTATCTACACAGTATGTATACATGAACTATATACATAGGTATATATGTATATAGGTATGTCTATACATACACACACACCTGTAACAGTGCTGGAGCCCCGTGGAGTCGAAGAGATGACTGAGATACCTCTGAACACCAGATCCTTCTTTTTTTTTTCTGTAGGAATAGTCAACAATTGTCAATATCTGCCCTTAGCTTCTGGTCACTGATGCCGATTCCCACAATCTGCTGTGTGATTGGTGGGGCGCTATGAGTTCAAAGGAAGCATAACCCCAAAATGAAAAGTTTCCACAAGCAGACCTACTCTAGCCCAGGTCTGAATTCCCACATCCCACAAAAACAAACTGGAAATCACAAGGCCTCCCTCAGAACTACTGTCCTTGGTAAGGTAGACTTTCCAGTCAAGAAGCAGCTTTTGCATCACTTGTCTCTGCCACCAGAGATACTAACTCTGACTTCCACTCCAGTGGCTCTCATTCAAGACCAGAAAACAAGCAAAAAGGCCCTTTAAAAGAGAACAGAACCCAGAACATCTTATGTAGTCTACAAGTTAAGAAATGGTACTTCTAGCAGCCCTAAGACACAGACAGAGTCTCTCATACAGAGACACAACCTCCCTAAGAGCAAGCTAAAAGCCCTCTGCAGACTGGAGACTGGGGAAGTGAGGATGTTCTATGTTCAGAAACATCTGGATTAAAACCGGAGGTGTATGGAATAAAACACAATGCTGTCAACACTGTATTCCCCAGCAACAGAACCCACTGGGAAGCGCTGGTGTGAAATCCTCCCCCAGACTCCTCGTCCCTGTTGTCAGCCATCACTGTTGTTCCCCTGACCTGTGGTTGGGTCCTGTCTCCCTGACATTCCCATATCTTTCCGAGAGGCCACTGTTGTTGCAGGCAGATCTGCAGGGTGAACGAGATGCTCATACAGGAGTCTGACCCTTGGTGAGGCTGCTGTAATGCAGAACTTCTCCACCAGTGGGACGAGACCAGGAGGAACCAGCCACTGTCCAGAGGACAGGGGGGCCACTGCATGCTAGCAGCGCTAACAAGCATGGCCATCACTAATTCCTGTTCCCTTGCTCTACACTCTTATGTGCAACTGCTATAAAAAACAACACATTGTTTCAGGCATAACCTTCATTCCACTGCGAGCTCAGCAGGCTTTGCCTCTTTCAGAGGCCACCATGTGGTATCTCTGCTTGGCTCTGATCACAGGCTTCATGGCTCTGGTGACCGAGCTACCAGCCAAGGAAAACAGCAAGTCTTCCACAAGGCATCCATCCTGCACCGTCTTGCACAGCCTGGATACATCCGAGCGCAGAGTGTGTATGAAGTGCAGTGTGTTTTCCTGAAACACGTAGCCAGTCGTATGGAACAGATGCCAGTTTGAGTTGTTCACCTATTGAATTACCACTCACATGTTCCTCATACTCAAATTGAAGTCCTGATTGCTCATCTAAACTTGCTAAACTGCAATAGAGCATTACACAGCCAGCAATAATTTCAAAAATGCCAAATAAAACTAAATATGTGTTTTAAATACAAAACCTCGTTTGCACCAGGAAAGAGCAGTTCCTCTAAAGAGGAAGAGGGAAATTGAATACAGAAGCAAAGTAGGACAGCAAGCCAGAGCCAGTGATGAGAAGAGCTTCAGAGTGGAGGCGGCAGAGGCTTTGTGCATTTTCTTCTTCCAGTGAAGGGCAGTAGGAACACTGTTCTGTTCCGGTATGGAAGGACTCCAGATGTTTTCCATCCAGCTGTGGCGCTGGGAACTCACCTCTTGCCGACATGGGGATAACGATGGGAATGGGGACGGAGCCGTGGCGAGTGCCTTGCCATCCCACCCACCATGTCCCCCTGGACCAGGGCTGCCCCCTGTCCCACCGCTTGCCCACCCAGTCCCACTGCCAGTGCGTGACGTGCAGGGACAGCACGGGTGCTGTGAGGCAGGGGGCAGGGGGATGGGATCCCCCCCATTTTCCTGACCCAGGCTGTGATGGGGCACTCTCCAAAGCAGGGGCGATGCCCGTGGTCCCTCCAGCACTGGTCCTGCTGCTGTCCCGGGGGGCTCCGACCTGGCTACCCACAGGCAATGAGGAGCTCCGGGCTGGGGACTCACCTCCCACTGTCAGCTCCACAGCATCGCTCCGCCGCACCGCCCCGGCCCCGACCCTGTTCTCCGCCTCGCAGTAGTACTCCCCGGCGTCGGAGGGCTGCAGGCTGTCCCACGCCAGCTCGGCCCGGCTGCTCAGGAGCAGGGCCTTCCCGCCCGGGGTGCTCCGGAACCAGCGGTACGCTGGCCATGGTCGCGGTGGGGAAGGTCCCCCCTCCACGGCAGCTCACGCTCTGGCTTTCTGTGCTTCCCCAGGAGGCAGAGGGGCTCCGCTCTCCCATCACCTCTCTGCACAGGCTGAGCTTGCCTTAGCTCTGCGGGTACCAGCTATGCCCTTGCACCTCATACACGAAGGGCTGCTCTGCTGGGTTGATGCCGTCTCCATTCCTCTGCACATCTCCACTGCCCAGGCAGAGGGAGATCGGGCGTGTGCCGATGGAGTTTGGTGAAAGAAAAGCAACGTAGTATCCCAGGGACTTCCCCTCTGGTGCATGTCCCTTGCACATACTGAGCCATCAGATACAGGTAGAGCCAGCAACAAACTGGTAAGCGAGAGGCCACAAACCCTCCCCCAGCCCCTGCACCGCAAGGCGCAGGACTGTGGGCAGAAATCCTCTCTCTGACATTGCTGCTTCTCGACAGAGCCTGACACCGCTCAGCAAAACGTTCCTGCATCGGAAGCGGGTGGTCACTGCCTACCTGGTCTATTCAATCCTTAAAACCTTCCCGCGCCACACCTTCCCCTCCTGCTCAGCTTCCTTGCTGGGCTTACCTTTAACAACCTCCACTTTAGTGGTGATGTCTCTTGCTATAAGGCTGTTGTTCCTGGCTTTCCAGGTGACCTGGCAAGTGTAGGTTCCCCTGTCAGAGACTTCCAGGTTCAGGATGTGGAGAGACACGTTCCCCGGGGTGTCCTTTGGGACACTGACCCTGCCTCTGTACTCGGCCAGGAGAACCTGGTCGCCAGAGCTGTCCCTCTGAAAGATGGTGCCGGAGCTCTGGTCATGTACCACCATCCACGTGAGCATTTGCTGCACAAAGTCCTGCACAGGCACATAGGCACATGGCAAAGTGGCAGATGCCTTCCATACGCCTTTGATCTCACTGGGGCCAGTCAGGTCTAGAAAAGCTGCAGAAAGAATAGAGAAAGACAATTTTTTAAAAAAAGCAATTGCCATGAAGGCAGCCTCTGGGTGATGAAGGGGTGGTGAAAGCATCACAAATAGACCCCGCCAAACCCAAAGCACCGGCAAGCAGTGCAGACAATAAGGGACAGGCTGTTCAGGCATGGGCTAACAAAAAGGCGACGTGGCGTGAGAAAGACGGACGGGAGACAGCCGACTGCCAGGGGCACGGACGCATGCCACGGGCACAGTTCGGTTCTTGGGCTCTGCCCGGCGCTTGCCTGCGAGCGAACACCCAGCAGAGCGCAGGACCGGAGCTCGCGGGCGACTCAGACCTGAGGGAAGGAGCTTGTCCCAAGCCCGAGCTGCGAGCTCCCCGGTCGCAGTCGGTGTCTGCCCCTGCCGCCTGCCGCCGTTCTGGGGCTTTCCCGAGAAGCAACGCATGTTGACAGCAAACCCCAGCGCTTACGTTTTTCTCTCCTCCACTGCCCATTTGTTCTTCTGAAAGACAGTGCTTTTTCAGAATAAGCTGAATTTAAGCAACTTAAGCAGTGGATCAAGAAGTCTAAAACTCTTTAAATTTTCCTATAAAAGTGAGGTCTGTTGCCTTTTGTGCCAGTATATTTTTGTCACTCTTAGGGCTGAACCTATGTTTCCATAGACACTACTTGACCATTTTGTCCTGGTTTCCAACCCCCCCCTTCCCTGGGAACACAAGAGCTAACCAGACCCTTCATGCTGGGTGGCTCACTCTGCTGCATGAAGTAACCGTCACGACGTGTGTGGGATCTTTGTGCTCTAAGCGCATGCACAGCATTTCCATAGCCTTCACACACCATCGCGCTCCACAACCACTGGATTCGAAACAACCAAACACCGAACCAGCAGCATGCAAAGACGTTGACCTTCTTGCCAGATTTCTGTTCCCCAAAAGAGAACCACCGCTGCACACACCCAGGCACAGCAGTGCCAGGGAAGGAACTGCCCCAGGCAGGAGACCTTTCTGGGTACTCACCGTTGCAGAAGAGAAGAGGGCTCATGAGCACAGCTGCTCTCACCAGCATTCCCATCCTTCCCAAGGCTGCAGCTTCTCCCTCTCAAGTAGAGCAGACCTGCTCTCTCCGAGCCAGGGGTAAATCAGGAACACTCCCCTTTCTTTGCTCACTTTGTTGTCGAGAACCCAGGACAACTGCTGGTGTTTTTTCCTTCCTCTTTTTCAGAAAAAAAGTGTCTCAGTGATGACCGTCAGAGGCATAGGCAGAAGTCCTAAGGAAGGGTGAAAAGAGGAAAGTTTAAGAATTACTTCCCTCTGTTTCATATTTCCTGCCGAGTATGCTTTTTTCCCCTTCTGATTTTTAATTCAACTTTAAAAAAAATACTTCCTTTTTTTTTTATTCCTAAACACCTTCTTCTTCCTCTTTTTCTTCTTGCATTGCTTTCTAAATAACAAGTTTTAACATGCATGTTACATAAAAGTACTCCCTCGAGTCTTCTTGTAAAGAGCTAGACAACCAAGGTCCTCACTATTCATTTTCTTACCAGCTTTTCTATAGAACTTGCCACTGTGTTTTAAATTAAGATTCATGAAACACCCTAAATTTTTACATTACCAGTGTGAGACAGATGATCATTGTAGGTCCCTTTCAACTGAAATATTCCATATCATTATATCCCATTTAAGAGGTAGAGAGTTCAGGTATACATATCTGAATATAAATAAATTTCCAAGAGCTGCAGACACCTGGTTTGACCATCACACTCCGTATCACAGGTTGATCCTCCTTTCTCACATAGCAATTTAACTGCTTGGTTAAATTGGTTAATTGCATTCAATTAAAAACAGATTAGGGCCATATGCACCTGCATTTCCCTGTAGACTACTTTGGAAACAGGGAAACAATTATATGCCTAGAGGGGAGAAATAAGGAACTTGTCAGAGTAGAAAATCTTTGAGACTATGAAATCGTGACTTCTTAACTGTAATGAGTTGTGTTATTATTAATTAAAGGTAATATTAGTTAATCTGTATTATTAATAATTGAGCACTAAACCCTTCTAGAAGTATTCGTCCTCTACTGAAACATTACCTTGAAGAGATTTTACGTATCTTTTTCTGTCTTCTGTGCCTCTTTGTTTTTCTCATGCCCTAATGACAGAAATCTCTCCTGCTTCATTGTATTTGGCTAAATGGATATGAGCACTGTGCTATTGTTACCTCTAAATTCAACATCAATTCTCAAATGCAATAACCAGAATAACTACATGCAGTCAACACAATCTTAGACCATATTGTAAAGTAAAATCCTCCTTTAATGACAGTGAGACAGTGTTTGTATCTGTAGAAGCATAGTACAGCATACCAGAGCAATCAGTGCTGCATACCTGATTCTGAAGTAGTGGCGATGTGGGGGGAAAAATGTTTCTTATAGTCTTTTATATGGCTTAAAGATGGCTCCACCTACATTGTCATTTGCAGGTAGCTTCATTAGGTTGTTATCTAATTTAACATTAAAAACAGGAGATTTGTGTGTAAAGCCCTGGGAGCTCTGATGTTATCTTGTTCCTTTTCTTTCGAGGTCTTTGCTTTCATTGTGATTGCTTGCTTTTACATATATTCTTACTTTAGAGCCATTGGTAGCTCATTCTGCAAAACAACGGTGCTTAAAAGCATATATGACTATAGAAGTGTGGTTGTTTTTTGGCTACTTGTTATTAACATTGATCTAATTGTGTCAGTGTTAGTGGTATAAGTTTGAATTTGGTTCTTTTCAGGTTATAACGTCCTGATCTCTGTTTCCCTGAAGCTGGTGATTTTACTACACACAATTTTCATGCCTTTATTTGGTTAGAAAATCTCTATATCCTTGTGGTTGTTTATCAGTCTCGGCCTAGAGAATCGAATCATCTGTTCAATTAATTTCTTACCATCTACTATATTTGCATGTATACCTGTAGTTAAAGAGGACATCTAACCAGCTTAAGGTCTAAATGCTTCTGAAAATACCCTACTGGATGAAGCTGATGAGCTTGATAAAGTTCAACAGAGATCCAAGAGATTTTGGAACCCGATTTTACGTGCTCCTCTCTTGTAGCCCTGTGTTCCTCCATCAGAATGAGATGCAACTCCAATCTGCAGTCACTGGGATGGGGAGAAGCAGGAAAAGCTTGTGTGGGTTGTAGTGTTGGCATAGTTCTTGGTTCAAAAAAGGAAGAGAAAAGAAGATGTTAAGTTCAAATTAATGAAACTCCTTCTTGGGGAACATGGCTGACTGGACAGAAGCCTAAATTGACTTGGACTAAGTCATAAGGGAACCTACTGCTAGCAGGGTACGTACCAACCAGGAAGCTAAAACTCAAACTGCTTGACAAAAAAAAGAGATGTGTATATATTTATGTATTTATTTATGTTTACATTTACCTTTTTGGTTGCAAGGACAGTGGTGGGACAAACCTCTTGTCCTTCATATGATGCAAGTACAGACACCTGTGTGCTAAAATGACCCGTAGTAGGAATCTCTTGCTTTTGCATTGGGGAACTATGCTAACACAGATACTACTTTTCAAAACAGCAATCTTGTTTTAGGAGACAGCAAAACATTTTGAGTGTGGACTGGATGCGGTGGCATCATACAGTCCAGGAGAGACAGATCAAAGTAAGTTTTTCTCACATTCTGGAAACCTCTGTCTTAGCAAGTGCTAAGCAACAGGAGATAAAAAATTGATGACTAGGCTGACATGGTCTGTGTGGGGAGGGCTAGTCTGAAACATGAAAAATCATTACAAAAGGAGCATGCGAGGGGCACTTCTTACTTTCTCACACTGTGCTTGCTGTGCCTGAGTGTGTTCTGTAAATTCTCAGCACATGGAAGCCAAGGAAAAGCAACCTTTCCTCCCTCAAATACAGGACACTGAAACCAAGAAGTAAAAGCAGCAGCTATGTGTGTTGATGCTGGAGGAGGAAGGAAACTTGCACTACAGTGAGCCAACTGTGGCGGTTGGTAGCACAACCTTGTTACGCATCGAGCTACGGTGGCATGGGAGTCCTGACCAGTAGGCTGTGGCACAGCAAGGGGCCGGCGATCGGCCGCTGTCTGACCGGCCGTGCTGCACGTGCCCTTGGGCTCCAGGCCCGTGCAGGCGGCACAGACAGGTTGAAACTTACTGTCAAAAAAACAGGGGAGAAACTAGGGCAATGGCTCTTGAATAGAACTGTTGGACATTTAAACAAACCTGCAAGTAACAGAATGAATCTAGAAAGCCAAACAGAAGTAATGTTAGGGGAAGGAGGCACAGGTAAGTATCAGAGGATACTCGGATCTGTCTGATAACCATCCTTAACAGCTGTGTCTAGAGAATCTAAGTTAACCCTGTACAATATATGATCTTCACGTGCTAACACCTTCCTTTTAAAGCAAAGAAAGAGAAGATGGTGCCTATGCACAGATATACCACATGCTGATTTAAGCTAAAATGTAAAGTTTGTCTGTTTATATTATAGAGAAAATAGAGGGAGATGGAAAAATGGAAGGGGAGGGAAAGGTGAGTATATTGGGTGCTACTGCAAAGGAGAATACTCCAGCTCTGGGAACAAAGGTAACTACTAATGAAAAGCTTTTGTTAATCTTAACAGAGGAACTGAGTGCCTCAAAAACTTCTGGGCTCTTACCAACTTAATGCCATTTCATGCTCCAGTACTTTTGCACAGAGCCCTATTGACTGCTCCAGGTTGTTGAAGGGGACAGATGGTTCCTACACCTTGGCAGTGCAGGTGAGGGCATCTGGAGTGTTTCATTAACTTTGTCCAGTCATTTTTATCCTATCTTTCATCTTACCCTCCCTTTCACTTCAGTTGATTTGTGTTTACATAGACCTATTATATTGCTCCGAGGATACCTCTGCTCCTCTGAGTAACGTAAGAGGATTCAAGGATTCTTGCTCCTTTGCAACAGCAGTAGCATTTGTTTTGTTGAGCTTGGGGCATGGTGGTGATCATTACAACACCACTTGTTTGTACAACAGGTTTCTGAAGTGGTTCCTGAAGTTGCCATCTTATAGCATGCAATCACTCATAACTCTTGGTTGTCAGCTGGGGAGTTTTCCACCACAAATCCATTTCTCACTAGCATGCACCACAGTATTTTGAACTTTCACATCACCACCTATGAAAAAAACAGTATCAGGTCCCCTCACTGCTCAGATGCGAGGGCTGGCTCCCAGCAAGCTACCCGCACACAGGCAACGAATAAATGCCCAAAGCCAGCCTGGCCCTACACTGTCAGTGGCGGTCAGTCTCCTTCCCCCAAGCTTTTGTTCCATGGCATGTCAAATAGCGGTTAATAATAAACTTAAACGTCCTTCTTTCTCAGGCTGACAGCCAGGCTAACCTTAGCATTTCAGTTAGTTCTGAACCTGCAGCAGCTGCATAATGAGACCCCCTGGAAAGCATTAAAGCTCTCCTTTCCAGAAAATTCAGTAAGTGGGTTTTGTTAGTACTGGCACACACAGGAACACACAAAATAGAATGCACAAGAAACACAGTAATGGTTTTGCAATTATTGAGTTTAATTACTTCAGCATGTGGGTTTTTCTTGCTATTCAGCCCTCCCCTTTCCATTGCAATCTTTCTTAGACAACTTACGTAAACACTTTTCCCAGAACAGTACAAGTTTTTATTTGCAGTTTTCTTAAGCCTTGGTTGCTTAACTTCTTAAGAGAGAAAGTGTATTAAAAAGCTACCATGCCAGCAGATCAAATATCTGATGGTGAGATGCGCTGAGAGCAGGACTCCAAGACGGAAGAACGTGACTGTAATCCATAACAGGAACTACACTTCAGCCTAAGCTGTTCAGGAACTGAGTTATAGAAGATTAGCCTCTCAAAGAACTTTGTTGTCTGCATTGTGCTGTCAAAACAGCACAGAAAAGTCTGTTTTTTACTGTTTCATTCTTTGAAACCTTGAGGCCTTTTGGAAGAAATGAAAAAAAAAAAGCAGAACCCAAGACATATGCAATTCACTCTTTTCCCCCTCTCCTTTTAACTCATGAAAACTTGAGACTATTCAGCCCTTTGTCTCAAGAAGTAAGCAAAAGAGACTAGAGAAGACTTGAATTGCCTTCTGTCAGGTGTGTCTTATTCTAAAGACACAAACATGAAAGCTCACAAGGTAAAGAACAGTTGCAGAAGCATGGGAACAAAATGATGGTGTGAAGGCATTGCACATACACACACACTCAGCAGCAAGATCCTCCTCTAATGCAAAAGATTTGACAATGAAGCACAAACCCAATTAAGCAGGACCAGCATAGATAACGTGCATTATCTAGTAGGCTTTAGAATATCATATTAACTTGGATCCTTGAATATAAAAGATCTCAAAACTTACTAGTTCAGAAACTGCAGAGAGAACAAAGCCTGTAGGTAGCCTGAATTCCTAAAACTGAAAAAATTTTCGAGTAATTGCGCTGGTAGGAAATATCACGTGGTATTATACAATGGGTTTTCTACCTGCCTCCAGGCCTCTTCTAGCCCAAAGAGTGTGGCATCCCTGCGGCACATTTCAGGCTTGTGTGGGCTAGTGGTAGACTGTTACAAACCTGGTATCAGCAAAGGAGAACTTACTATTCCACTGACACCAGGAGTGATGTATCCGTTACAGCTGCTCCAAGAAGATAGGAAAACAGCGTAAGAACAGAATTTTGGTGAAATATTTTTTGATGAAGCAGACAGCATATTTTTTAATTTGCTGGCAAAGGACTTAGATGCATCTAATTAATTTAGCTTTAAGATTCCACAAGCAGACCCCCCCCCCCCCCCGCCATTTTAAGGGCAGCTGCTGGACTTTGCTAGATGTGAATCAGTTCTACACAAAATTTCTGAGGAGACAACCTATGAGCTAGGTGCAAGTTACCCTAGAAGAACTGCCATGCAATGTGCATGAGAAATCAGCATTATGCAGGGTGGCAAGCACTTCCTACCACAACACCTACAATCCGTGGCAATGGATGTGTGCTAGCATGTTAAAAAGTAATATTCCACAGTTAAAATGTAATTTTCCATAGGAAAAGTGTTCCCTGTACCTAGGAGCAAATCTAGGAGTATGAAAGTGATCTAAGCAGATGCAAACAATTTAGTCACAAGCTATCAAATTAAAATCAAAATTAAAAAAAATTTCTTAATTCCAAACAGTAGACAAGCCACCTACTGAAACAGGCTCTCAGAAAGAGTAAAAACCATTTAAAAAATATTACACACCACATTACTATCCAGCTAATAAAAAAAAAACCCCAAACCAAAGAAACCCAGCCAAACTTTACAAACAGGATACAAACAGATTTCCTTTTGGAATAAGGATATTGGATAAAAAGTTATGGAATACGCTGCAGTATGTTTACAGGGAGGTTGTTCTTCCCTCCGCCCAGCGCCTTCACTCCCACCAGCTCTTGTTCCGAGCTTGTTTTCACTTTTTCCAGATGTGCTCATTGCTTGTAGAAAGCAAACTTTCTTTTGTCTACACAGACTATGACACCCAGGAAGCAGGTAAGGAGAAAGGTCAAGCTTCTTGCTGATCCATTTCTTTGTTGTCTACTTCACATCACTAAGCCAGTTACAGATGTCGTGCGAGTTCAAGAAGTTTCTATCTCGGAGGCCTCTTCTATGAAGTTAGCAACAGGACTGAGGAGCAAAAGTGGAAACAGTTTATACTCTCCATTCCCGTCTTCCGAGAGGAGAGGTGGATCACCCATTCCCAGAGCATCTGGAGGCTCAGCCTGGCTTGCTGGAGCTGCTAGCGGCAAGGCAGTTCCGCTATCTGAGGAAGGATGAAGAGCAGGTTTCTCTTCCAGGGAGGGTAGCAGAAGGTCTTTCGGATCCTCCATCTTCCCTGCAGCTTCACTTGAAGGTGGTTCTTCAAACAGCGAAAGCAGAGGATTGGCCCTGTACTGTATCAGCTGCATATCTGAGGGAAAACAAACAGTTTAAACTCCAGACTCCTGTGTCACATGAGTGAAGGCTCTTATTCAAGACCAGGAAAAAATGGAGAAGCTGCTTCAAAACCTGGTTCACTACAGAAAACCATGCAGCTGAGCTCTGACAGACTACGTCTGCAGCTGCAAGAAGGGAGCTCAGGCTCCCGCGCCTGTTAACATCACTGTCTGAAGCACACTTCAAGCCCCCAAGACATACAGCGTACAATGGCAGCACTGACGGAGGAAAATGCATAGCACTGCATTTGTGGGGGTCGCAGCCCATACAGGGGACACTTCCACAAGGACATTTGCAGTTCTGCTCCCTATTGTGGCACTGTCGCATGCAAGAAAAAGGAAACAGTTAATACAAACATGGGGCATCGGATGGGGCCTCTCAAGGTTGAGGCACAGCTTTGTCAAGATCAGTGAAATATCCCAGTCTTCACAAAAAATTTTAAGCCCAGACCAAAGGAGGAGATAAATCATATTACAGGCTACAAAGATTGTATTTCAAAACCCAGTTTTGGAAGAGTTTGGAGCTGTCACTGCTCTCAGTGCTCCTTCCTGCCCACCTTTGCTTCCTGCTGTTTCTCTCTCACTTGCTCCCAGGTCTTCAGCGCTCTCTGCCAAGTTTGCAATCTGAAGCAAAACAGAGGGTAAGACAGAATGCTTAAAAATAACAACAAAAGCCAAGTTTTTCACTGACTAGTTAACAAAACTAAAGGTGAAAGGAGGAGGGAAGAGAAATGAAGCAGTTGACAAGTGAGCCCCTTGCTGGACATGAATGCCAGCAAACAGGAGCTCTCAGAGGAACGCACAGTGCAATACAGGCAAGCTCAACTTACTAAAGCAAAACAAGCCTCTGACTAGCAAATACTAATTCTGCCTTCCAAGCCAGAAACTTTACTATAGTCTGTCTTGTTGGAATAACACTGTTAAACATGATTTCATCAATATAATTAAATTTTGCAAGCACTGCTTGAACACAGCTGCATTTTACCTCAGTTATACTGAGGTAGAATTACGTACCTTAGTCATAGTCTAAGTTGTTATGACTAGGAAGTCCTAGTTTAAATCTTATTTCAGGTCACTTTGCAAGAGTTTTTTTTAACAAGTCAATTTTAGGAACTGGACCAAGAGAAGTAAATTTGCACTGAACTTTTGTATGTCCTCTGAGGAAATTCCATACAGCCATGTTCAGAATAAATACAGTATATTGTGTTATATTTTTCATTTAGTACTTTGTGTCTTCAGTCTGTCTGAAGACTGAAGGAAATCTCATCTGAACTATAACCCCAGACCTAGTTATTACTTGGCTAAAAGACATCATGGGAATTCCTGAGGCTAGGAGAAACAAGCCAAGAAACTGTTCTCACACACTTAGACAAAAAAAAAAAACAACAACAAAAAAAACCAACAAGATTTTCTAGCCTCCTCATTCTAAACAGAAGGTAGAGAAGTAATAGATACAAATAAAAAAAATTCCTCAATACAGACAGCTGATTCAGCAGATGCCAGTTTGCTTCCCTCTTCCTTATGTTCTCAGGTGTATTCAGAAAGCAAAGAACATGTTATTCAAAGCAAAGTGGCAGTTTAAATCAGCACGCAGAGTGCATTACTGCAGCTAGGAACATTAGGAGCTGATACTACCTTGAGAATCCTCTTAAATTCATATATGCCAACAGCAATAACTGAAAACATTAAGTCAGCAGGACAAGATGAAATGGCAGTCTCATCCTGTGCTGTCAATCCAGTCCCTACCCTCAAACTACATCAGTCAAAATTTAGCTCTCAACATTGTATTAACCCTCCCCATCACAGAAGCAAATCTTACTCTTACATTTTCCATACCAGGGGAAGTTTCCATCAAGCTCATATCCAGGGCTGGCAGCTCAGGATTAAGTGTCTGAAATAAAACCAGACCATATGTCATATAATAAGGTCCTTAAAACAAAACTTCAGAGAGCTCCCGAAAGCACAGCAGGATCCAGCACACTGCTCCATCCACTGAAGCACAAGGGGAGGTGGCTCCTCCACAGACCTACAGCAATACTGTGGCAGTAAACTGGGGGCATGGGAAAAAGACGACACCCTGTTTCCCTGTGATTCCAGGTATAAGGCTGAGTTTCATTCCATACCATAATGCATAATCAGACACATCATCAAGATGTGAGGATATGTGACAAAGGCTTCAAGTGAGTCCAGTTGTGTTCTCCCTGCCCCCCCGAGCTCTGTATGACAGAAATACTATTTGAGCTGATAAAAGGCTCTCGGCGTTACCTTGTACATTGTTGGACTCCTAGAACGACTACGTATCACTCTACCCATAACGATTTGCTTTTCAGGATTTTCCCTGCCTCTTGCCCATTACAATATGGAATAAAACAGTAAAATTTCATGATGCACCCTAATCATTATTTTTCAGAAATCAGAAAAAGTGAAAAGACACTCACATCACTGAAAGCTTCAGAACCAAAGTTGTACTGCTTCCCGGATAACATTGCTTGAAGCTCTTCAAGGCTGGCATCAATGCAATTAAGAAAATCCTGAATTTCTTCTCTAAAAAGACAAAATTATACAGTACTGTAAGAAACAGTCGGGAGTCAGGACCTTCTTTTGCACCACAAGGCAGGTTGCTCACAATCTAGAATAGCTCATTGCCAAATGAATGAAACCGCATTCCTGTATCGCTTGTCACGGTCCAGCTCTGAAGGACAGGTACAAGGAAGACTATCTGAACAGCAAGTATAATAATAGCTATCGCATCAAAAAGCAGTTCCTCCTTCCACACCTGCTTCCTCCTTCATTTTAATATCTTTTGAATGTTCCCAGATCCCCACCTACACACCAATGTCTGTTTAAACTATGGGCTGATGGCATTCACCTTGGGACAACAAATGATAAGCAAAGCGCTGGAAACAACCTGGATCCGAACCCACTTTGAAGCATCAGATTGTGGCCGAGTTGTACACGTTTCCAAGGACAGCGGGCAGGACACAAGGGACAGTGAATGAAGAGGAAATGAAGCCGCATGACGACACCAGTACTGAACTTCTCGCTTGCTGCGAGCTGCCACCCGCGCTGGGATACTCACTGCAACACCAGACAGCCCCAAGGCACAGCCCCACGCACTGCAGTGCCGGCGGGCCTCCAGATCACACCGCGTGCCGCGACACACCTCAGTGCTCCCTACCCATAGTTAACCACAGCAGAAGAGCCGCCAGGAGCAAGAACTGAAGTTTGTTCCTTGATCCAGCTCAGCCTGCAGCCACAGAAGTGACAGCGCTGCCAAAGCTCAGGGACCAGTGCAGAGCTGGGCACTGCTTACGCAGCCACGCTGCCGCGTGTGAAGCCACAGCCTGCGGGATTCCGGTCACAAGGGAAACAAACCTTTGCACAAATGAAGGGCAACACCAGATTACCACCGATACAAATCACAGCCAGTTCTCAGATATGAGGGCCGATGTGACAGACTGACCTCACCCATCCTCAGACTGACACATCTGAAGTCAGGCACACTCATTATCAGAGATGTGACAGATCAGCTTGCCCTGCTTCTAGTGTATGATGCTAACACTTGTCTTTTTCAGGACCTACTAAGAAAGGGGCAGAAAATTCAGTTCATCAATGACATTTGAAAAGCTAATTCACTATGATCTGCTAAATACATCCTCTAAAACTTCAACAAGATCCCACAAGATGACGATGGCACAACAGTTTCCAGAAACAAGTTAATACCTGTCCAGTAAAGGATCATTTTGGTTTCCAGAGTTGTTCTCATTCAAGATGGAGTCGATCACTGACACGGGGTCTTCTGGAGCATTAGTTTGTGCAGTATGGAGTTCCACAGCAACATTTCCCATTTCACTGGATTTGCTGACATCATTTATATGAACTGGCGGGATAGATTCTGCATAATTTAACTCATGTGGTTGTGACACTTGACAAATAGGTAAGCCAGGATCCAGAGTTGCCTGTGTCTCTCTAAAACATGACCCGGAGAGAAACAACACACAGGAGAATTCATCAACTGTATTACTACTCATTGCAAGTTTAGTGCCTTAAACCTCAGTACCTAGTAAGGTCAAGCCCATCAAGGGTTCAGATAACTAACTGGTCTTTAGGAAAAGAAGAAAAGCGCCTTCCCAAGGGCAGAGAAAGAATCTCTTACTACAGCTTATATCGATAGGATGTATCGGAGCAAAACACCCTATTTTGCCATGCCAAAGGCGCCATAATAGCATGTGGAAATTAGGCCTGAGGGAAACTCCTAACGTTGCATCTCTGGAAAGAAAAGATTCCAAATAGGTCCATATTTCACTCTGGATGTTAACAACTAAATGGGTTTTCACAAGAATATGAGGTTGCACAAAAGAATGCCTTTCCTTCAGTTACGCTTAGCACAGCATTAGGGAGAGTAGTAGTGAAACTGAAGATAAAACTCTAAATCTTGGTTTGTTTATTAGTAACCTATACATGCATTCAGGTCCCTGCTCAGCCAAAAAGTTAAGTATGTGCTTTTTTGTTGAATAGATGGAAAAGCCTCAGCAAATTAAACTTCAAGTGCCAACCAGCTTGATAGGCCTCCAGGCACTCCTGTAGAGATATGGGTATTTAAAAAGCTGTGCTGACCATGACCAATGCTACACGCGGTAAAAAAGTCAGCCTACAAACAGGCCTGTCATGCACAAGTAGAGTAAAAATTCAAAGCGTCTGTTTCCCAGAATTCCTGTGGAGCACTTACGCTAACATAACTATGTAGTTAACAATGTAAGCATAGATACTTCGACATCCTTTAAACATACCTGGCTCTGTCACTTGTGTGTGCCACAGCAAGGAGACCATTGGTGGCATTTTCCAGGGTATCAGTGATATCTCTAATGATAAGACCTGTACCATTTCCATCCTCTTCATCTGCATTACCTTCAGAAAAAGCCATCTGCAGGATACAGCAAATGGAATGAGTAAACCATAAGGTCTGACTATTTTTGATGTTGAAGCTTCATTCTTCTTGCAGCTTCTCCTTCCTGTCCAGATTTCATCTTCAACTAGCTGTACTGATTTGCATGATTTTACAGAGCAATGCTTTAAAGCTACCCACTGAAAAATGGACTGCATTTGTTCATAACACTCGGGTATTAACAGTTGTAAGGAAGACTTTGAGATCACTGTGTATCATCCTGTCCAACCCCTTGTCTCTTTCCCGGGGAAGACTTACTGCTTGGCCACTCTCCACAGGGATGCGAACATACTGACGACTGTATTTGAAAGCTGAGGCACCTGCAGCATCCGTTAGAGACCTGAGACAAAATACAGCTTTAGTATACAGTTCCTCAGTAAAAGCTGTAGCAATGCCAAATATGTCTGGTAGTGGTAAGAATGCTCATTCTTCCACTTCTAAGAAAACTGGCTTCTGGAAATGTTTTTCAGCAAGCGTACCGCAGACAGGCTGCATTCTAAACATGCTTTTCTTCTGAATAAGTCAGTCACATTTTCACATTTAAAAAGTTACCATTTCTGATAACTGTGCTCTTCAAGATTTAAGATGTATAGTATATTACCTTCCCACCCATTTTTTAGTGGCAAAGAAGCGGAAATATTTCTTTCACGCTTTATTCAATTTCCATCAGCCTTCTCAAGTTTGAATAAAAAAATACAAGTGATAAAAATATTCTTGATGCACTTTAAGCAAAGTATGTTGCTTCTAGAAGCTGGTTTATCCCTGTAACTCACATCTGACACTGATTTGTGACCCATCCAGTAATTACCTTTTTCTTTTGACCCCAACAATATAATTTCCTTGCATCAAACTTAGTATAAATTGAAGAATCTAAAAAGGAAAGACAAAAAAAAACAAAAACAAGTGGTCAGCATAGCAATCCTAACATTAAATTATTAATTCAGATATCACCACAAGATTATGTAGTTATGTGATTGAAATTAACAGGTAAATTAAATACCTATTTGGGTTCATGTCTTAAAAAACAAAATGATAGTTACAAGTGGCATTGAAAAATTATCCCACTTGGACAGGCTGTTTTGACATAACGTAAAACCACAAGTCACTAGAGGATTCCAGACCAGAAACAGCTGAGGGATAAAGCAGAGAAAGTTTGTTCCAGTGCAGAAGCTCCTATGGCTTCTAGCTTCCAAGTTGACTTCTTGAGTGGTCTGTCTTGGTCCAAGATCTTTCCCAGACTCCATTCCACGTACCTGTAATCTCTTGTTCTAGGCTCCTGTTACCATGCACTGCCTCCAGCCCCACGTTTACCCCATGTTAGCTTGATTTACTCATTTCTCTTCAAATTAGATTCACTGAGATTTCAAACACACTGAAATCCTTTTTACTATGACTTTTCCTTAGTATTTTGCTCATGGTTCTTTGCTGCACTACTTCTGGGACACTCAGGAACTGTGAACATTTTCTTTATGCTGTATTAATATAGCCTGTTCAGCTCTGTGTCATTTGTCATTCTACATAAGCAAAGAATGCCATTAAGTATCACAGAGGCAGGAATAAGGATGGTAGCACTGAAGATGCTGCAATGGTACCTTAGACAGCAGCTTCTGTTGTTGACTGTGCTTCTGCCTTAGAACTGCCACTTCTTTCCACAGGGCCTTATTTTCTCTGCAATGCAGAATAAATCAGAAGACAGAGGATGAACAGAGTTTACTTTATATGCTTTAGTTTTACAGCTTTCAAACTTTCACAGTACCTTGCAGGACCAATGGCAACATTCCTTCCATGGATAACTAACAATTGGTTAATCCAATCCACTAGTATAAACTCTGGTTTAAATTAGCTCCATTTTCCATCAGACAGGACCAAACACTCACTAATGAGCGAGTGTACTGCTGCTCCACCAGTAATCTTGATCTGAGGTCTCCCTTCAAAGCCTCCAAGACTCAGAATAAAGACTTGGTGTTTCAAAACGGGCTGTGTGTAACACAGACCACCTCAGACCTGTTTCAAAGTCTGCGTTTGGTTTTTTTTTCGGTTGGTTGTTTTTTTCTAAAAGAACAGAGGGAGTGTAGTGAAGGTGCCTCCTGAACTTTGGTTGATACCTGCTTGCCAGTGATATGAATGAACTACCAGTGCCTATGTAAAAAGGATCTGAGGGAACAGAGACGAGGACGTGCAAAGTCCAGTTCCGATTAGAAAGAAAACCAAACACCAATTCTCTCTCCCTCACTGCATCTAACCCTGTTCTGTGCTTAGAAAAAGAAACGCTTTGATCGCCCTAAAGAAAACAACTACAGGTGATGGCAACCGAAATGAAGTCTCAAGACAGTCAAACTCCCAGTCTTTACCTCTGGTCTGCTACTGAATTACAAAAACAAGCAAGATTCAGAATGCTGCATGGGGCAGAATGGGGATTCTTACAAAAAAAAAAAAAAATACAGCTTCACCTGTTTCCAGTTCAAATGAAATCTGCATTTAGACTCAAGCTCCATTTGATATAAGCAACACTCAGTGTATAAGTGCCTCTGAAACAGACAGAGTCTACCTCTTCATGTTAGCAAGCCTGACATCCATGTTGTTCTGCTGCTCTCTCATTTCCTGGACTTCAGAGAGTACTTTGTGCAAATCCTCCGTACAGACCTTGAGATCCTCAGTCCTTACTGCAGATACCTAAAACAGGACCAGGTTACACATGCTTTACTACAAACAGTGCCTTGCATACTCCTTTCTACAGGAACAGTGCAGTTAGTCTGTAGAAGAACAGGTACAAACTCCATTAAAAGACACCACAATTGCTATAGATGACAGTCCTCAGGACAGACTACACTGTATAAAAAAAAAAAAAAGACATCAATGAAAATACAGGATTAGCACTTTATACGTGTAGACAGTAGATTCACCATTGTAATTCATGGTAAGAACCTACCACTGGTTGAAAATGGCTTTTCCTAGGGGGTTCTCCCTGACAGGTCTGGTGACAGCTTGCCCTCTAGTGTCGAAGAGGGAGAGACCAGCCAAAACCAGAACAGAATTGGTAGTGGAGTAAGAACAAGATGATCATACTCCTTTTAGGTGCAGGTAAATCTGCCAGCATAGGAGTAACAAATCTCCATTCAGTTACAAGGTGGGTGAGGGGGAGTCCAATTAGAAGCATCCTACTCGATTTAAAAATGTGTCCCACACCACCTGAATTGCAGATTCCTATACTGGTGTTACCCCCATTACTTCTCCACTCAGTGATATTCCAAAATTATGGAGACTTGTCTCCAGAAAGTCAGAGTCCAAACTGCATTTCTGCCCACAGAAGAATCCATGAACGCGACCTCTTCAAACGATGGCAGAAGAGTCATCAGAAAGCAAAAAGCTCACTCTCTCCTCCCCACACTTCCATATTCAAAATCTGCCAACTCCTTCAGCAACTCTCTCTGCAGTGGTGGCCTTGATGGCTAACACAGAATTCAGGATTTTGAAAAAGACAGCTCTGGTGCATCACGCGTCTGAATGACAAGTCCAGGTTTTGCAGGCATAATTTTAAAAATCCTTTAGCCAAATACTGCCACAACTGAACCAAATGGAGTTGTACTGGCTAACCAACCACCAGACATCCCTTCCAACCTACAGCATGCCATGACACTAAATTCCAAGAGGGAGGTGAAAGCACCTGCGATCAGCCCGCTGAAGTGCTAGGTAACTTCCACGCAGGCTGGCTTACAGAACCCTTTTTTTCAAAGGGGAATGGCATGGTCAGAAATGGACCTATGGTGTTATAAAGCCACAGCCTATCACTTCACAATGAAACAGAACATAATTGTTATGCAACCACTCTACAGACATAGCTGGCCACTTTCTCAGCATAGCCCAGCGTTACAGAGGATGGACAGAATGGCCTCGCTGTGTCTATGTTTTTAGATGCTTCGCTATTCGTTGTGGGTAATACCTTACACTAAGGTACATGAGTTATGTACCAAACGAAACTCATGGCCACCTGGTTTGTCTTCAGCATACCACCTCTCTATGGGGAAGACACCCAAAAGATGCAGACAGCAGGTGGAAATTTCAAACGCCGTCAGCCTGCCTCTGAAAAAAGGGCCATACAGTAGCATTCTGCCCAAGTGCAAGGAACTGCTCTCTTCAGAGCCTCTAACCAGATAATAAGGGTGTCAAGACTGAAGCACACCAGCAGAGCTAACAGTAAGAGGGAGTAAATAAACCAAGTCCTGCGCCGAAACTTGCATTCCTGTCAGAGGTTTGCAATCCGGTTTATAGGAAGTACTGAAACATGACTCCATGACAGACAGTAAAAGAGCGGGAAAGACTAAGGCATGCTCTGCATAAGATCACTAACATTTCCTGTGCAACAAAGAATATGTTTCACCAACCTATTCAGTAGTTTCATGTGACCGTCCTTGGCACTAACCAGAGCTTTTGTCTTTCCATCTAGAGTACTCCACCCGCTGCAACACCCCTGGGATGCATGGTGCCACACATAACGTCACCAGCTGACTGCCTCAACACACCAGCAAGCAAGGTGTGCAGGCCAAGACAAATTAGCGATTACAGCATCTGGGAAGAGCACAGGCCTGAGTCAGAGAAGCAACTGTGCAACTATATTCAATCCTTTGTGATTGTGGGCAGAGACAGCTCAGCGAGGAATCAATCAAAAAACAATTGCGGGTCTCAAGCCTATCCTGTGCTTTATTAACTTGGGCAATGTAGCTACCACATTACGACATTCTAAAGAAAAGATTCTGCAGTAGAAGTGTCAACATGATGTATTGTGATACTGTCTTTCTCTGGCAGCCAGGCTATTATGGGCTGTAATGTGCCAACAGAGGATAAATATCTGTGCAGAAACAGGTCAGGCACGGCCTGAACATACACAAGAAAACTGGAAAGCATTAAGAAATGTGTAGCTTAGCGGCAACGTAGTTTTGGAGGAACAATGTAATTTATGCAAACTCACCCAAATGAACTGATTACTAATGCCCCTGCTAATTTGCAATATGCACCAAATGGGAGTGTATTTTCTTTTACTTCTTTCACTTTGCAACTCTTTCCAACTCTGCTGTGCTGGCAGAACTGAAGACTGTGCTTAGCTGTAATCAGGTATATGAACTCTCTGTGGAAAAAGGGCTCATTTGACAGCTATGAAGACTGTGGTCCTACTCCAGTGCGTTGCTAAACAACAGCAGGGTGTGTTTTGTCCAAGAGCTGGCATGAGGAGGCCAAGCCAAGCATTAGCCTGGCATTCAGGAGGGAGTTACAAAGGCTTGCATCATGATGCACAACCTTGGTTCCCATGGAACTGGCTAGCTGTAAAGTGTCTGAAACCCCAGGTTCTTGATCAGCTACTTTTCAAAACAAAGTGAAGTAAATACATGCTTAGACTGTACCTTGCGCTTGATGTTTTCCAGCAAATGTGCCTTCCCTTGCTTGAAGAAAGGATGCTGGAATTCAATGACAGAGCTCTTCTCTGCTGTAATCATACCATTCTCCAGAGCAATAACCTTCCTGAAACCATCTGTGGAGAGGGATTAACAAAGTCATTTCTTTCAGTGCAAAGCCGACTATGACAAGACATAGCTGAAGAAAACCCCAAGGCTACTGAAATACCTACAGCACTATAGTTAGTGGTTATAATTTAAAAAAAATAGACTAGAATATATAGAAATTATAAAAAACAGCGACAGTAGCTTTTCTCTGGTGCTCATTGACTTGACTGCTCCAATCTCCACAGCTAGAGAACGCATCCACAGTACCGTCAAATGGCCTCGCAGGCTGTACGAACAGCACGCATGGCAGAGACCAGCTAGTGTCTGCAAGCAAGACAGTGACATCCCAACAATCACAGAAGTTAATTAGAAGTGACATTTATTAGGACATCTTGGATAAAATATTGTCTCAGTGGAAGCAGCGGAACAGTGCACCTTCCCTTTCATGCCTGTAATCCCAGTCAGCTACATGTCAAAAACACTGCCATGCACCACCACGCTCTACAGAATAAAATAAGGAAATTAGTTCTCAGCTTATGCAAACACATGCACGCAGGGTACTTTCTCCATACCAGACTGCCTGCATGAAATAAGACATTGCCAGCTCTGTTTCCATCACTGCTTCAAGTACCACAGGGCAGATGCAAAATACAGTTGGCAGACCAATCCATATCTCTCCTCACTCAAGTTTCTATCACAGTTAATGCATTCCAGTTTCACTGTGCCCCAACAGCGCTACCATTAGAAAACCGTACTCGAAGCTAGGACAAGTCCAGCAGAAAAAGGAGGCTGCCGTTTCACTTCGTGCCTTCACAGGAACATCTGCATTTTAGCATTCACCCTCGCTAGGAGGGAACTGACAACTGTTTGGTTGTATTACCCTTTGACACGCCAGGGATGGAGCCTCGGCACTACACACAACCTGCAGCATCCACCCTGCGTTAAGGGGCTAAACGCACGCCGTCCCTCTCACATCTGATAGGCATCGGCTATAGACACCAGGCAAACCTACCGGGCAAGGACAGAGAGTTCCTCCTCCTTACTCCAAATGGAAATTCTAAACAAGGCAGCCATGTTCCACGCAGTTTGTACCTTCACTCAGCCCATAAGCTATCTACCGTAAAGCAACCGTTTCTGCTGCGTGTCGCAGCCCTGCACATTGCACTGCATCTCTGTATTACTGCCTCACTCCAGCTTCTTTGCCTGATACAACGGATGCTACATAATGCTCGAAAGTCAAGCCCAGAAAACACAATGAGAAACCTAGTCCAGCTCGATCCATCGGCATGACTAATCTTGTTTCAACATAGCAATGCAGGCAACAGCACGGTCTAGGTATTTTTTTCCACACAGTGGATGCACAGGTGTAGACACAGCCTCTACTCCTCCAGGTGTGCGTAAGTTTGCTGTTACCATTACCATTAACAGTGCCACCATGGACTGAACTCCACCCAAGCGTTAGGCACCAGCACATGAAACAATGTTTTAATGGCTGCTGCTTAAAAGGACTCAGAGCTGAAACACAGAAAACAAAGACTAAGCCAAGCTCTACCATTACTCTTTTCTTTTGCAAAGCAAGCTGAAGACCAGAATTCAGCTTTTTGGGGATGAAAGACCTGACAAGCCAATCGGTTTGTTTAAAGAAATTGAAATTGATGCTAAGCAGCAATTAACTTGGCAGAAAGAATAAGAACAGCTGAGGCTTACACATGTTAAGCTGTCGTATGAAGCTGGAGATATTGTTGTGTTTGAAGTACTTGGGGAGCAGCTCCTTGGCAAACCTCTGCTCATCCAGAATGCAGAAGTTCTCACCGTTCTAGGAAACAAGCAGAAGCCAGGGTCAGAGAACAGGCACGATTCTTCTACGGTGTTGCTCAGAAGTCAAGACCATAAATCAACAGAGATGGGGAAGGGCAAAACGCTCAGCGATGGGAATTGTCTGTGTGAGCGCTTCTGGGTGCTTGGGACTGTGCTAAAAAGTTTTGAATCCAAAAAGACCGTTATGTGCAACACTTCTACTGGACGGGGGATTTTTTTCTTTTTTTTAAAAGCCCTGAAGTTTTGATCTTAATCCAAAGAAAACTCGTCCTCTTAAAGATCCCACATATCCGCTGCTCCCGCCGCCCGCGGGAAGCGCGAAGCTGC